TGAATAGGGGCTTAGCACAGCTTCCTGGGTCAGGCGAGCAGCTTTCATAGAGCTTCAGAGCTGTTTCCACATTCCTGAGACTCTAAGAGATCTCTTGGCAGGACTTATGTGGGGCCTGGCAGGAGATAAGTTCTTGATCTTTGTTTTCCCTGGATCCTACTTCTGTCCAAAGTTCTGGGTCTCAGGATACCCTTGTGTGCCAGGCACAGGGGTAACACTATGAGGTTAAGGGCGTGGACTCTCGAGTCAGATTGCTGGGTTCGAATCCCAGCTCCCCCAGCTATGGGTTGTGTGGCCTAATCTTTCTGTACCTTATTTTCCTTTCTATAAAATGTCAGTAATAATAGTACACATTAAATGAGTTAATATGTATGTGAGATTAAAAGAAACTGGGGCCAGAAGATCTAGCAGCCGAATTCACCTCCTAGGGAATCACAAAAGTATATAGTGGGGGACCCTGCAGCTTGCTGGCGTGGTTGGGCACAAGGTGAAGATAGGAAAAACTCACGGAGCTGGCAGGGACCCCTCTATACGGAGACCCCATTCCTGTAGCCCTGAGGTGCCCGGATGATGGGGAAGTCCTGCTGGGGAGGAGGCCTGCAGGGTTTGAGGCTGCAGCCTGCACATGAACTGGGTGGTGGTGAGCACCCATCTGGAGCAGCTCTCACAGTGGTCGTCTCTTTGGCTGATTTTGCGTTTGAATCACAAGCAGGATAAAGCTGGAGGCAGAAGGAAGCTGCCGAGGGAACCTTGCAGGCAGTGAGGGGTTTCCACAGAGGCAAAGAGGAAGCTAGTCCTAAGTGTGTGTTGTATCTGCTGGGCTGGCACTTGCCTCACTTGGAGCTGACAGCCTTCTTAAGAGAGGACAGGCTTGGTTTTGAGATGGAACACCATATCTCATATACTCACCAGTAGCCTTTTAAAAACAATTTGAAGCTTCCCTGGGTCAGAGACTGATGTGATTTTCAATGGGCTGACATCAAAGCTGTTGGTTTATGTTGGGAAAGAGTTGGTTGAGGATGGTGGGTAGGTGGCTCTCCTGAGCATAACGGGAGGTCAGGTCCCCATGACTGTCTTAGGAAGGGTTGGTAGCCAGCCTAGAGCCCTTAGCCTCCAAGTTCTGGCTCATCTGCTGTACTGTTGAAAAGAAATTGGAGGGAAGAGGAGAGGAAGGAGGAACCTGCCTGGGGCCTTTGCATGGGTCTTGCAAATGCGAGGGGGACAGGCGGGGGATATCATAGGTCTTCACTTGGCACAGACTAGTAAAAATAAAACAAACAAACCAGGACTAACACGAGGGAGCTGATACCTTTTGTCAAGCAAGAATGTTGAAAAGAAAAGAAACAACCTGCTCCCCACCTTAAAAGAACAGCAGCAGCAACAACAGCGAAACCACTATTACTACTATTACCAATTCCTGAAAGAAGGGATATTTTAACATGAAAAAGGACTATTCCCTGGAAGGGAATATTCTTGGAATAAAGAATAATTTTCCCAAGAAAGGAAGGTTGGCAACCTTACACACACACACACACACACACACACACACACACCCTGAATTATCCTTATTTTTATTTTTCATTTTGTTTAAGTCCGATAAAAACTTTCCCATAAATAGGCCTGCTAGATAGGTTGGCTTTGGGGACAAATGACTCTGGGGCTCACCAAGTGTGGAGTGTGAAGAGAGGACAGTGGAGGGCTTAGATGGAAGAAATGGCTGAAAGATGATCTGCCCTACACCAGGGGCTGGTAGAGTGGGGGAATCTTCTAAAAGCAGGCCAGGCCGATTCTTTTAATGCAACACATTTTAGATTCAGGAAAGAACTGGAGGAAGAGGGAATAATAACGGACTTTCTGATGGTCAATTACTCTGCTTTCCAATGGACTTTTCTTCCATTTCCCCCTCTTCCTTCATATAGCCCTCACTGTTTGCTAAGCAAATGACCACTGCCCCTTCCATAAAGGTGGAATGAATTTTCCCTTCAGAAAGAAGCTCTGTCCAACTCGAAGGCCTAGACATAACTTCACCAGGCCCAAGCAGAGTTCAGCTGGGAAGCCCAAGTCCAGAACTCCTCGGAGCCAGTGGAAGTGAAGCTCGTCTGTAAGTTTACTTCGGCTGGTGGATCACTCCCTGGGGCCCCACATGACAGGCTATTAACAGCTTCCCCAGGAGACACAGTTTTTAGCAGCATCACCTTCAGAGACTTTTCTCATAGGTTCAGCTATTTCATTTGTTGTTTGAAGCTGCTGACTTGCATCGTCTTTATCTGTTCTTACCATGAGTTCTGGCCATCTCTCAAGGGGGAAAATGCCTGGCAAAACATCGATTTCCTTTGAACGGAGATTCTGAATCATCCATGAAATAAAAGCTTGTTCCCCGAAAGAAGTTTAATAGAGCCACAGCACCAAAGTCACATCTGAGCCACTTGGACTTTTGGTGGTACCAGTGACAGAACACTTCAAAACTGGGATACACTGCATTAGTCTGTGCCAGGGCACATGTATGGCTATGCCTGTGTGTGTCTACACACACATTCGCATGCACACACACTTGCCGAGCTAGGGGTGGGGAGGCGGACTTCTGGGAGAAAGGAAGGGGAGTTTTAAAAGGACAGCTACTCTCTTCTTCACTCTTCTGTGGAATACACTCTGGGTTAGAGTGAGAAAAGTTGAATCTGGTCCCAGGTCTGCCTTCTAAGTTGCTCTGGGACCTTGGGAAAGTCACTTCATTTCTTTGAACTTCATCTGCAAAATGGATACAGAGACTGTATCAGTCAAGATTTAAAACAGGAAACCGAAATATCTCAAGGTATTTTGAACAGAAAATAATTTTATACAGAGAATGAAATCTTTACAAAGTTCACTGGAAGAGCCAGAAGAATGAAGTTGAAGGCCACCGGTCAGAAAACTGCTGTCATGGGTGGTAGCCTCCACTGTCATCATCACACCCTTGAAGCTGGTGACAAGACCATGGGCCCTGGAATCCAGCAACAACCAACATTGATTGTCCCACTGCACCTCTGCAGAGAGATGATGGCGTTCTTTGGGTCCCACTCCCCAATTCTGGCACAAATGCAGCTAATGAGCAGAACCCAAGTTGAGCTATGAGAAGCTCTGGGAAGTGTCATTTTTAGCTTTGCCAGCTCTGGAGACAGAAGGGTGAAATTGAAATTGAGAATCAACCTCGGCATTTGGCGTAGTTTTTTTGCTCTGAAGTTCCATGATTCTGCTGGGGAGAGTAGACTTGGGGAGTTTCAGCAGAAATATCAGCTTTTTTAGGTTTTCATTGGTCTTGCCACACTTCACCCAGCCTCCTGTGTGTGGTTCACAGCCCAAGGGGTGAGGTTCCCTGCATGCTGGAGCAGAGGGATTTTGAGGCTCCTTGAGGTCTACTTTAGATGTCCACTCTGTGAGGGGGTGGGAGAGCCATGAAGGAATCTGCCAATTGCCTTCTCTTTGGAAAGTTCCTCCCACCTCAACTCTCAACTTTGTGTAAGCTTGAAAAATAGAATTGGAAGGACAGAGAAAAATGAAGTTTAGGAGGAAACCAAGAGTTCTTCTCTGGAATCACATGGCCAAGGTCTTGGCTTCGTAATATAAGCACAAGTACCCTTCCTCACCGGGGAGGAACCTGAGCAGAGGGTGGCAGACTGTGGGTTCAGCAGGGTTCCTATCAGGGAGCTGGAATAGAGGGTGCCAGCTCCATCACCCCTGCTCTGCCCTTCCTTCCCAAGAAGGGCGACTTGAGCTAATGAGCAGAATGGAAGCTGGGAGACTGGGTACTAGTGTGGCATATGAGGAGTGGGGGACAGGAAGGGGGAATAGAATTTTAACCAGTATTCAATAAGACACATTCCCCAAGCTGGCATCACTCCTCCAAATTGGCAATAATTGGTGCCCCCCCATTCCTGCCAATTGAGCAGCAGGGGGGAAAGATGGCATGGGGAGAGGAACTACCTCCCCTCTAGAGCCTGGATTCCAGATCCAAATTGGGCAAGCGGGGAGTGCAGCGAGGATGGCTCATGGCAAGGAGGCTCTGGTGAGGACCTGAGGACACCCAAAGGGGTCTAGTCTCTTTCCCCTAAGGAGTCCCTAAGGTGCCTCCTTAGGACTTTGTCTTATGGAAACTTTCTGAGAAAGGCCGGGAAACAGGCTTGTTTGTTTGAGAGGCAATATCATTCAGAGGTAAGCAGGCAGTTAAAAACTTAAGTCCCTGGTTGATATCGCATCTGGCTGGGACCCTGGACCTGGTCTTCTTGGAGCAGGGTTGCTACCTGGGGGTAGCACTGCTGATTATCAATATGGGATGCTGCCAGTGAGAAGGGGAAGGCTTGGAGAGACCAACCCTCTTGCCAGAGGAGGAACTGTATGGGTTAAAAAAAGAGTCCACAGATCCTTCTGGGTGCAAATGCCAGAAGTATGAAGGGAGCTACCTCAGTAGAAGACGCTCCGGTTGAGTAGACAAAGGAACTGGCTGTGTCTAGGCTCCATCATTTCACCTCTCTGCTCAAGTAGATTCCTCACCCGTGATGGGATGGTGAGGCCACTCTGCGGAGGGCCCTCTTGGCCTTGATGGTCTATGATTGCAGTTCTGCAGAGCACCTGTCTCCTCCTGTTTCACACAGGACATGGGTTCCTGCTCCTTCTGGCCTGCTCCTTTTTCTCAGGAGGGTGGAGGAGTGGTCTCTGAGTGCTGAAAAGGCCCCCTTCGGCTGTTTGAGAGGGCTCGGATGTGCACGGAAAACACTCTCCCATATTGTTATTCAGCGGGAAGAAAGAAGAGGAAGAAAAGCAAAGGGAGAAGGTATTGTTTGGGTACAATCTGTGTTTGCAATTTTCCACATCGGTTCTTTTTATGAACGCTCCAAAAACAAGACAACAGCAGTGGCTGATTCAATATGCACCATGCAGGAAAACAATAAGGAAAAAAATAAGGGTTTTTAATAAGCACTTGGAAAGGCTGTAATTAAATCTCGGGCTCTGTTTGGAAAACAAGAATCTCATTTAGTGCCTTTGCCCCGGCGCTCCCTAATATCTGCACCCGTGTTTTCTGCTGGGCAATTACTGTGTCCTCCGCAGCTTAACAAATACGGGTGTGGGACGCGCTCAGGAGGGAGATCCCAGGACGGAAGGAGGGGCGCCTGCAGGGGAGGGGCAGGGGCTGCAGAAAACTTGGCTCTCACCCCAACAGCTGTCACGGGAACCTGTGGGAGGTGGGGAAGGAAGAGTCGCAGGGTGGGGGAAGGAGGAGTGAGGGCAGAGGCAGGCCCCCTGCCTCTCCTGCCTGCGTTTCCTCAAATCTCATTCCACAAAGGAGCCAAGGGGTTATGAGAACACAGAGGGCCCCTCTGGCCTAGGACTCAGGGACTTTAGAAGAGATGACCAGACGGCCGGGCACGGTGGCTCATGCCTGTAATCCCAGCACTTTGGGAGGCCGAGGCGGGTGATCACTTCAGGTCAGGAGTTCGAGATCAGCCTGGCCAACGTGATGGAACCCCATCTCTACAGAAAAAAATACAAAAATTAGCCAGTCGTGGTGGTGGGCGCCTGTATTATCAGCTACTTGGGAGGCTGAGGCAGGAGAATCGCTTGAACCCAGGAGCGGGAGGTTGCAGTAAGCCAAGATTGCACCACTGCACTACAGCTTGGGCAACACGGTGAGACCATGTCTCAAAAAACAAACAAACAAAAAATTTAAAAAAATAAGTGAGAGAGAGAAATGACCAGAGGAAGAAGGGATATGTCAGCAAGAGAGTGGGAGCCTCAAATCAGTGGGGGTTGTGTGTCCACAGCGATTTTAAAAAACATTTTAAAATTTATTTTTATTTTTAGAGACATGGTCTTACTATGTTGCCCAGGTTGCAGTGCAGTGGCCCAATCATGGCTCACTGTAGCCTTGACCTCCTGGGTTCAAGTGATCATCCCTCCTCAGCCTCTGGAGTAGCTGGGACTACAGGCATGCGCCACCACTCCTGGCTAATTTTTAATTTTTTTGTAGACAAAGGATCTTACCATGTTGCTCAGGCTGGTCTCCAACTCCCAAAGTGCTGGGATTACAGGTGTGAGCTACTGTGCCCAGCCTGAAAAACATTTTTCCAGCCTGGAGAACATGGTGAGACATCATCTTTACAAAAAATAAGAAAAATTAACTAGGTATGGTGGCATGCACCTGTGTTCCCAACTACTTGGGAGACTGAGGTGGGAGGATTGCTTGAGCCCAGAAGGTAGAGGCTGCTGTAAGTTGTGATTGCGCCACTGCACTCCAGCCTGAGTGACGGAGAGAGACCTTATCTCACTCCTTGGTTGATCAGAGAGATCAACCAATGAGTGGATAAAGAAAATGTGATATATATACACACCATAGAGTACTACTCAACCATAAAACGGAATGAAATAATGACCTTTGCAGCAACTTGGATGGAGTTGGAGGCCATTATTCTAAGTGAAGTAACTCAGGAATGGAAAAGTAAATGTCATATATTCTCACTTATAAGTGGGAGCTAAGCTATGAGGATGCAGAGGCATAAAAATAATATAATGGACTTTAGTGACTCACAGGGAAGGATGGGAGGAAGGCGAGGGATAAAAGACTACCTACTGGGTACAGCATGCACTGCTAGGGTGATGGGTGCACCAAAATCTCAGAAATCACCACTAGAGAACTTATCTATGTAACCACAAACCACTTGTACCTCAAAAATTATTGAAGTAAAAATTGACACATAGTCATTGCATATATTTATGGGGTGCATAGTAATATTTGGATACATATGTGGAATGATCAAATCAGGGTAATTAGCATATCCATCATCTTAAACATTGATAATTTCTCTGTGTTGGGCACATTCAAAAGTCTCACCTTCATGTGACACTATCCAATAAATTATTGTTAACTATGGTCCCTCTACAGTGGTATGGAACACTAGAACTTATTCCTCCCATCTAGTGGTCATTTTGTATCCTATAACCAACCTCTTCCTATCTGCCCCTCCTCCTTACCCTTCTCAGCATCTGGTAAACTCTCTTCTACTCTCTGCTATGAGATCAACTTTTTTTTTTTTTTTAAAGCTTTACATGAGTGAGAACATGGAGTATTTATCTTTCTGTGCCTGGTTTATTTCACCAACAATGTACTCCGGGCTCATTCATGTTGCTGCAAATGACAAGATTTCATTGTTTTTTGATAGCTGAATAAAATTCTATTTATAGATGTATACCATATTTTCTTTATCCATTAATCTGCTGATGGACACTTAGGCTGATTCCATATCTTGGCTATTGTGACTAGAGTGGCAGTAAACATGGGACTGTAGATGTCTCTTTGGTCTACTGATTTTCTTTCCTTTGGATATATATCAGTAGTGGGATTGCTGGATCTTACGGTAGTTCTGTTTTAGCTTTTTGAGGAACCTCCATACTGTTTTCCATAATGGTTTTACAAATTTACATTTGTACCAACAGTGTGTAAGAATTCCTGTTCTCTACACACCGAGATATTTCTTTGCAGGAAATTAGCCAATTTGTATAGTATGGGCTTGTCCTTGCCAAGTTGTATTGAGTGGGTTTGAACTTCTACAGTTCAAAACAGCTGCCTTGACCACAGTCCTCCGCCTGTCCCGTATAAATACCACGCCTTCCCCATGGTATTAGTGAACTGTTTTTTACTGAATAGTCACTAGGGGTCAGGCACCATACTAAGGACTCTTTCAACTCTGTCACTGAATCCCCTCAACACAGTCAGAGGATAGGTGCTGCTGTTACTAGCTCTGTTTTCTGGGTGGGGAAGCTGAGGAACAGAGGTTAAGTCTTGTGTCCAAGAATCACTAGCTAGCAGGAGATGGGGCCAGCTCTTGAACCCAGGCTGTCTGGTTCCAGGGGGTTTGCTGTTCACCCTGTCTGCTATGCTTGCTTATCGGAGACGCTTTCACTGCTCTCTTTCTGCCTCTTGCTCTGGGTGCCAGAGTCTCAGGCATTTTAACAGAGTGCCTGCTGGGAGAGGGGAGAGGGGGAACCTTGGCTAGATTTGGGCTGGAGGAGGGGCCGAGCTTCTTCTCCTGGGGCCCTGTGTCCCAGGGATGTGGTGGTGAGATTTGCACTGAGAGGCGATGCATCCGTGGGGAGCAGGGTCTGCAGTCTTGCATAAAACTATGAAGACTTAAAGCATTTTCCAGAGGCTTTTCCAAATCTTAATGCAGTATCCAAATATTATATACTATAATATTATAATATACTGTAACATTGATTGAGTGCTTTGTCCGGAAGTACAGCTCAGGTAGGTAGTGCCCAGAGAGCTGAAGAAATCTGTTGACTTTGATATCTTGTCTTTAATTATGGGCTCTTTTTTGAACTCTCTGAAGCAGAGCCTGAGTCCTTTGGAAACATTTGGCCCTTCCTTTCCATCCTTCTGTGACCTTCAGTAAAGCATCCTCCCTCCCTGAGTCTCAAGGACAGATGGATTTCCTTGCTAGAGATTGTGTCCAATTGCATGGTGCTGCCTTATGGCTTTCCAATCCCCTACTCCTGTCATGGCTGCATCTCAGTTCTAGCCAGAAGCTGGCTCTGTCCCATCCTTCCTCGGCTCTTCCCAACAATGCTGAGGGTACGACTCCCTGTGCCAGCTGGAAGCCACCCTATTTGGTGTGCGTGCTCATGGTAACTCTGTGCCCAGTGCCAGGCTCCTGGAGAGGAGCTGAGATTCTAGAGCAGCCAGGTCCCTCTGCATTCCTTGGCGTAGCTCCTCTCACCTCCTGAAACGAAGGGAAGCAAAGCTGTTGATGCTGTACACTGCTACCTCTTCTGAAGCTCTTGAGGCTGCTGTTGCCTATTGCTGTTGTGGCTTTGAGGAAACAGCTTTTGAGGAGTTGTTGCCTGTGTCAACTCAACAAAGAGAGAGAAAGCGAAAGAGCAAGAGTGAGAGGGAGTGGGGTGAGTAAGTGAGCATCACTGAATAGGGAGGCCAATTAATATTCTTGGAACAAACTCTCTGAGCACTATCTGCTGTCATCAGTGAGTCAGTACAAATGCTGAAAATTCCGATAAAGATGGGAGCAGCAGGTCATTCCTTTAATGCCAGGACCTTCTGCTTGGTGTTGTCTTGAGAAGGTGACACAGTTAACTATTACCCTTTAGTACTAATCACAAACTGTAGAAAGCACCTGAGTGTGTCATTAATAACACCACCTGGCATGCATATTGCACTCTCTTCTGGGAGCTCTGATGGTAGAGAAGGCATGGTTTCATGTACTGTCACTGACAAACTTGGAGCTGCCATACCTGCCCCATTTTCCAGATTCACATACAGAGGCTGGGGAGATGGTAGTGTCGATGGCTAAAGCAGGTTTCTTAATCTCAAGCCATTGCTTCTTCATTGAAATTTCTTAACAATACAGGATCTTGAATTTAGGCCTCTTGGATTCATGACAGTGGCTAAAGGTGATAAGCTAAAATCAGAAATGACTCCATTTGTAGTATTAGTACCTTTTGGGAAGCAAAGTTTAAAAGCACACTTAAAGGACATCAAAATAATCCAGAGAAACACAGCATGTCCCCAGGAACTTCGGGGGAAGCCGTACTTCCACACAGGCCTTTTAATCTTTCCTGGGGAAGTGGAGGAACTCTGTCAGCCATTTAGGTGCCAGACATTGGATAGATTCAGGTCCTCACTGCAGATTTTACTGCCTCTAGAATATGAATCAACAACCTTTTTGCTGCTGAGAAATGCAAACAAGTGTGTATCTTATTTGGATGACCTAGGTAGACCTCACACTTAGCAGGAAAGAAAAGGACAACAGAGACAAACATCAGGACTATATTGGTTGGGGCCTGAGCTGGCTGACCTTTAAGTTCCTTTCACACACGAGTTTCTGTGCATCTGTGCTTCTCTACATAGCTGAGTAGGAAAGAAGAAAGATACATTTGAAAGCGATGTATGTGTTGAGATGTGGGACAAGGTTGGTACCAATCTCCCAGAGTGACCTGGCCTCTCCCTCCCACCCACCTATCAGCCACACTGAGTGTACCCTAGTTCTCTGAGGATGAGATCCAAGTCTGACCTAAGGGCCAAGGCCAGATAATTTGCCAATTTCTAACTCTGCAGGCCTCTCTGCTACACCAAGCAGCAGCTCCTGTCTTCTTCTGCCCCAATCCGTGAAGCTTTTCGGCTGCTCTTCGCAGCCTTCCCAAAGGTTTTTGTTGTTGTTTGACC